TAGAACTAAGTAGTTGCATTAAACAAGTAATGAGGCAGTGGTCCCACTTCTTTTTGTTATTAAATTCCCAAATCCAGTTCATTGTGGGACTGCCAGGTATCCACTTCTGGTCCATTTCTAAATTACTTCAACGTATCCACAGAAGAATATTTTCTTCTGTTTGCTTTCTCTCCAACCTTTTGGCCATTCCCTGTTTCCTGTCTCACCAGAATACTGTATGACACTTGCATCATTGCAGCCTACTGGTGGTTCCATGTGCCAGAACAAAATGAGGGTCTGGCAACACTCGTCTAGCTCACACCATATACGAGTGCCTTAACAAAAGCTGTCAGGTGAAAAATAGGAGATAGAATCCACTGAAGACACCTCCTTCATACTTTTATAACAAAAGCAAAGCTGAATCCTGAGTTCAGGAACCACTGAGCCGCTCTTGTTTTCTCTACTCATTTTATCTCCATCTTGTTTCCTTCCTATCTTGAGGTTTGTCCACCTCAATTCCAGTGGATTCAGTCTTTGGGAATGAAAACTGCAGAAATTGTCATGTTTACTGTAAGAACATCTGCATGGTCATATTACTGGCATTTTAAAAAGCCAGGTGGAGAAAACAAACCTTCATTCATCCCTTCCTGTATGAATGGCCTGTATGTCAAAATACCTGAAAACTGCACTGATACAGTAGAACTTATTTTAACTTGCATTACGAATAAACTGCACATGCTGTTTTACAGACAATATATATTTGTAAACTTGCTCATGCAAAATTAGTGTGCACAACAGGGATATTGGTTTTCTAATCCCCACATCTGTAAAAATGACATTTATGTCTGCTCTTTTTGAACTGTGCCCAAACTCTCTTTTTAATATAATAAATCTTACACATAATTCATCTGCCAGCCAAACAAATTTATGAAGCTGAAACAAAAAAGAATAAAAAGTTATACAAAAAATATGGTGCACCTGGACATTTGATTCCCACCTCCCCCCCTTTTTTGTTTACAAGTAGAAAGAATGAATAAAAGAAAAAAAAAATCATGGTCACAAAATTTCGACATTTTAATCCTAAACATTACAGGGCAAATGGATGTTGGAATTTATTTCCATACACCATGAGTCAACTTTTTAATTCCCAAATGTGGCCAAATCCACTAAAACAAGAGTGGTTAAACTCTGGACTATGGAAATACATTTCTGGAATAAATGCTAGAAAAGCAATTATGGGGAAAGCCAACTGTCTCCATAAAGGTAAATAAAGTGGAACAATGTGTAGATTAGATACTTTTTCTGTTTCTTACTCATAACCTGTCAATTCAGTGCATCATATGGTTCAACATAATGGTCCCCATTAGACAAACATCTAACTAGTGTCCATTGATTCCAAGTTAGTAGATGATGAATCTTTTTGGATACTTTCAAAGATGGCAGCCAGCTCAGGGTTAGAGCTTATCTGTGACTGAAATTCACTCATTAATGGACTCTTCTCTGCTTCTGGAATGGTTAGAAGTGCTGCTACAGCTCTCATAGCAGATCGTTTTAGTTCATCTTGCTTTTCAAACTCCTGTTTCACTGAGTTCGCCTTTACCTACAGAAAAAATGAAAATATGCTTGAAACTTAACTCAACCCTCCCTCCAGATCAATCTTTAAAAATGTACTTTAAAAAAACAAGTTTCCTCTCAAAATTATCTAAGCTCTTAAAAAAACAACCAAACAAAAAAATACCCCCAAATATCCTTTTAGCAGAATTTTTACCAGCAGTTTACAAATAAGACTGAAGCTTCAATACTGCAAGGTAAGCCAAAAAAACTTGTAAGCTGCCAAGTCAACCACCTAATCAAAGCAACTACAGCAGCCAACCTTTAGCTAGTAAGGTCAGTAAATGACTTTGAACTGCTATTATCACAGTACTCCCAGCTTCCAAAGAACAGAACTTTTTAAAGAAGTAGACCTTCATTGGAATAACTGCTTAATCTTCTGCTGTTATTCTCAAATATATTTCAGTGATACGAACATAAATTAGAATTAAAGGCAGTCAATTTTCATGATGTGAAATATAGCAGACTAGAGTAATGGAAAAGCAAGGTAGATCAGGAAATAAATGACTGTCACAGCATGCAGGTGAATCAAGACCAGAGCAGGACTGGAAGGAGACTAACTACAAAGATCCAATAATCCTGTAATATAAATGAACAAAAGGTTGGGTAAATGACAAAAAGTCTAACAAAACTCTAGACAAAAGGTCTAACAAAACTAGGACTACTTTACACTGTCTTCATCAGCCAAAGACTTGTCTGAAACAACACCATCATCAGAAATCAGAGAAACTCAGTATTCCAGTTTCACTATTTATAATGAAGTAAGATTTCCAAGTTGCCCAGTGGCAGCTAAATTTTTAAGGAACAAAAGAAACAGCATCAAAGAAACAGAGGATTTTTAAAAAGAAGCTTACAAATCTACCTCTCCATCTGTAATTTAAATAAATTTAATACTTGTACAAAGATGCATTCATTTCTAATCTAATTATCCTGCCTACTGCAGCTTATCAACTGTAACTCAGGAAACGCTGCAGCAGTACAGAGGCATTCTTTAAACATGAGTTCATTTATATTTCTATAAGAAAACACAAAATAATGGACTTAAATAAGCTGAAATACCTTAGTTGTACATGTAGCACGCAAAGGTTCGACGAGCCTGTCCAGTCTCTGCAGCACCGCGCTCGGACAAAGGGTAGACAGTCTCACCAACATTAAAAAGGTCAGCATCTAGGGTAAGGAAAAAACCCAGTTCTACAAGTTATGCCTGGCACATATATGGAGATATATTTCCTGTGATGCTGTGTAACCTTTTGAACAGTCACACTTTAAACAAAATGGCAAATACAGCGAAGGACTTAAGCATATGAAGTAGTATTTTTACCATTTCAGTCTATTCACTATTTGAAGTATTCTGACAAAGTCACTGCTTTCACAGAGAAAAATAAAGCTAACCTTAATATCATAGTGATCCTTCAGACCATCTTCAACATGGTTTAAGAATTCAAATATATCTAGTCTATCCAAACAGCTATCCAATAGAGTATACATGCACTCAAAAGCTGCTTTCCTTATGTCCAACCCATCATCAACTGTATGCTTAAATGGTCCCATTTCCACCTGTGAGTGAATGAAAAAAAAAAAGATTAGGTAATACACTTCTTTTAAAAATAATCTACTTACATATTTGGCACTGTTTTTCCTCACTTAACTTACCTCTCTGATTAATTCCTTTCTGACTTTTGTTTCATTGTAAAGATGAGGAAGCACAGTATCTAAGAGGTCCCTTATCAAAGATGGTTTATTGTGGGCAGCTGAATTAAATGTCACTAGGGCTACTCTCCTGACATTGAGATCTGGGTCCTCCAGAGTTTTCAGAAAATCACCTGCAAGCACATACAGAAAGAAAGCAACTTGTGAGGATCTTTTTCATTTGAAACTTTAAAATATCTTTCCTTAGTTTTAAACTTTCAAAAATAGATACCTAATGCAGGGGTTATTTTAATGTAACAGACACCTGCTATTTCAGCATGATTACACAAATAAAGGAGTAATTATAACAATATGAAAAGTATTAATATAATTGATACACAGTATTTCATATAATGAAAAAGTAGTACAAGAAACACCATCAAAATAAATGGCCATCACAATGACATAAAAACTTTTTTCTGAAGATATGGCATGTAAATTAATGGAAATTACATTTAACCTTTCCTTTTCTCCATTTATTAAAATTGTCTCAAAATACACATTAGAAAACAAATTTCAATTTCTACAGTTCAGGAATTCAAAAACACCCCTTAAGGAAACAATCAACATACTGATTTTTAACCCCCAAATTAGCATATACTGAGAATACCTAAATTACTGTAAAATAGACCTACTCAGCATGTATTAATGTAGCACCACCTCTCCCATCTCACCCTATCTTTGGGCATTTTTAAATTATATTTCTCAATACTTTTATAGCACAGCCTTGTTAAAATAAATGACTGCATGAATATATCCTCAACGCTTGTGGAGACTGGGAAGTTATGAAACAACTTCCCTGAGGAATGAACATTTTTTTCAAAAAACCAACAAGGTGTAAAAACAAAGGGACTCTTACATCCACCAAAAAGCTGGGTAACAAAACTCAGAATGACAGATTTTTAGAGTACTAGATATTGATAGCTTTTTGATTGAATAATCAGTAAGTATTTCCAGAAACCAAAGGGGCAAGGCAGCTTCAGTGGGAGGGGAAAAAACCCTACAAGCATAATTCTTGAATATATTACTTAAAAAAAAAATAAAAGAATGAAGCTTAGTGATAAAAATAACACACAGTAAAGTGACTTCATTTCCTTATAAATAAAAAACTTGCTCTTCATAAAACTTTATGCTTTTAAGCATAAATATTCCCCTCCTATTAGGTTAAGAAACATAGACAATTTTTTTACAGATCTTTAGACCTGTAATTAATCAAGCGCAAAACATTCATAACATTAAAAAAATCTACAATACTTTGTTATACAAATGAGAAAAGAAACAAAAAGCCACAGCACTGCAAAAGTCTTCGTCATTCTGATGTTACACTGAAAGCTCCGATTACCTTATCCCTGTATCAAAATACACACAATTCCAAATGCTTTCAAACCATGAGCATTACAGAATCACAACATCCTAGATTAACAGTTCAAAACCTGACAATACTCAGAATAATTCACACAAGCATACATGTTTTAAGTGACTGAATGTCAAATATTTCCAAGACTACCACATCTTACTATATCAAACTGATATAATTTGGCAAAAACATGGGAAAGGAAATCAGCTTTTGGGTCCCATCCTACTAAAAACATTAGTTTCTGGTATTTCATGTCAGAAAGTCAATACACAGAATTTTTAATGACACCATTTTTACTGCTCAGAATTCAAATATATTACTGTTAACAGAAATAAATTGGCTACTATGGAAATATCTCGTAACTCTTCCAACAGTTATCACTAGCAGCTAAATTTCAAAATCTTTTATTTCTTGTAACACAAAATACAAATTTTAAAGGTAATTCTCTTGCCTGAAAAGATGGAAGCTGACAGTTTAAGTGGAGTACTTACCTATGCAGTTCTTCAAGAGTGGGTCTATGGGTTGTGGATGATCAGAAATAGTGAACTTAACAGCAGTAACCACTGAACTTCGAGCATATGAGGACCCTAATATGAAACAAAAGGGTGAACATGCAAGATTAAAACAACAACAACAGAATCTAAATCATGCTCAATGCCACTCATTCCTCTTAGACTTCTAATACTCTTAAGAACAGCAAACAAGAAATGCTATTTATTACTAGCAAGGCAATACTCAAATAAACCCAGGGATGGAACACTTTAAACTGGGAAAAAATACCATAACATTGTAATAAGCATGTAATATTATCTCCTATAGAAAATTTGAGCAATAAGCCTATCAAAAAAGATTATTTATGATCACATAAAGGCCTACAAAAAAATTCTCCCCTTTACAGCCGAAGAACATGGAGAAAACAGGTGAATACAGTTCTTGATATGAAAATGATTAATGAATTATGCACAAAGATCTTTCCTAACTCTTAAAAACTTCAGAGTTCTTATCTGAAAACTAGGAATATAGTAATTTACACCAGAAGACCAAAATATTGCAATTGGTTTTTTAATTTGTCCCTTAGTCGCCCATGCTCCTTCCTCTTCAAGTTTATAGCTCTTTCTTAAACATAAAATTGTTAACAGAAATATAAAGTCTGAAAGCAGAACACAAGTAATTCTTCTTGTGTATGGTTAACAACTTCTAGTAAAAGCAGAAAAACTTAACCTTTCATTGTTAGGGGAGGGGAGCACAACTTCAAGCATAACATTAAGCAAATAATTTGAAAAACTAGACCTGTTTATTAACAGGTATCATAAAGCCATCTGCTCCAATACTTACATGCATTACTATTCCTCACCTGATGCCAAGTATCCCTTGAGTCGTGGAAGCAGAGTCTCTGGGTCTATCAACGTAAGCTTGCCCAAGCATTCAGCAACAACATTCCTTGTACCCTCTTCTGCACATTCACAGTGTTTCAGGAGTAAGGCCCAGATGTTCTCAACATATGGTTTGAGACCAATCACTGACGCAGAGCTAATTATTTCTTTCAAGGAATGCAGAAGAAGGTATTGCCTTTTAGGTTGACTGGTTATTTCTTGTAGGACAAAGGGCAGGTACTCAGGAAGATTGCCAACACTAATACTGCCTAAGGCGTAGGATGCCGCTGACTTGACTTCTTCACTAGGAGAAGAGAACGCTTCCAGTATTACAGACTTCAGCTCAATTTGTCCACTTAAGTCAATGTGATGCCCAACTTCCCCAAGAGAAAGCAAAGCCAAAAGACGAATGGAATCTGTGGACCTTGAGTTCTTAACGTCTTGAATGAACTGACCTACAACAGCCGGTCCTTCCTTAGGGCAGGCTCGGGTAAGGGCAGCAACACATTTGGCAATGGAATAGTAAGACTGCTTGTGAGTAAGTGCTGTGCTCTGTGAGTACACTGGACCCGTTAACATGCGCAGTAAATCCATATAGCCTAAATTATTTGTACCAGTCACAACCAAAGCTTGGAAAAATTCTAGCATGGCACTAAGTGCTCCACCCTGAAGAAGGGGTGATCTTACCAGCCCAATAAGTTCATTGAGAATGGAGCCACTAATCTTTGACAGGGAGGAAGGATATACTTTAGCCAGCGTTGTCAGAAAACTGATGGCCATCTGTGATACGTGCATATCACTTTCGCTAATCAGAGGTGGGAGCTCATCCAGGACTGCATCAATCATGGCAGCTGTCAAGCTGTCACTGTAATTCTTAATTAAAATATCTAGAGCAGAAAGAGTGCCCAGCTTCAAAGCTCGCTGGTTCTTTCTCAAAAAAGAAGCAAGAATAGGAACTCCTTCCCCAAGGATTGGTCTCAAATCTATCTTCAAAGGAGAACCAGCAATCAATGTCATGGCCTTCACTGTAGTTAACCGAGTGATCTCATTCTTCAGTCTCTCTAGAAAGATCTGAAGTGTACTAGGCAGGTCTGTGCCTAGACTGTCACCAAGGCTACAAATTATTTGACCCATGCAAGATATTGCCCTTTCTTTCACCTCCTGGTCAATGTCAGCAGCCTTTAATCTCTTGATTGTACAAGTAAACAAATCTTTGATGTAAGGAGTAGCATCAAAGGAAGTAGGCTGGTCTAAAGGACGAATAACCTTCACAAGTTGTTGGGTAACCAAAAGTGCCTCTGATGTTATCTTGTAAAATGGGTCACCAACACAAGCTACAACTGGAGGTACCAATGCTTGAACATGAGGATGAAAGACTTGGGGAGAATGATTGCAGAGGATCACATACAAACAGGACAAAGCATCTATCTTCAGATTAGAAGAACTTGATTTGTCATTCAGTGAAAAAATTATTCCTGGAAGAAACCAAAAAATTCATTTTTAGGGCAGGTATTTATAGAGTCTGCCAGAACACTTCAAAATTTCCCAAGAAAGGCAGCTATACAGAATTTATGGCTCCCCATCTTTCTGAATGCTTCCAAACCCCTTTCTTCACTTTATTCAACCGATTAGCTCTTAAGCTACCTCATCAAAAGACAATGGGCCATTCAATGGTTTATGACATATTTTCTTAATTATAAAGAAATTTAGAACCTTCAACATTTCCAGCCTTACTTTTCACCATTACTTCAAATTTCAACATTTTAAATTTTAAAAGCTAAACAGTGGAAAATATTTTTTTCTGTTCAGATGGAAAAGAAGGCAATTAGATCTTGTAATTAAGAAACAAATTAGCTTCTTTTTTCTTTAAGAAAAAAAAATCTTCAATCTTCTTTTCAAGATTAATGGAAATACATGACTAAAGCAATTCTATGGATATACAGAATAGCTGATTATTTTGCCATTTTCTTTCAACAGAAGCCACACTTCAAAGTTTTGCAAAAAGCAGAGTCAGGACTTAAATATTTTCATGTTTCAGAACTCTCCATACCATTTATAAGTATTTAAGTTAATGCTGTGTTTCTCTTACCTGGAACAAGTACAGGAACATGTTGTGTTAGGGCTCCAGGTAACACATTTACTAGCTCAGTCAGCATGTTAAAGCAGCACTGACGAGTCTTCACACTTTTCTCCTTCATCTGTTTGTGCAAGGCTTTAACTATGTTGGGAACCTGTAATCATCACACATGCGTTAATTGATTCAATAGCTGGCATTTCTTTCATTCTTGATGACTGGGGGGATATAAAGAAATATATGCATTCTAACTCCCTGATTTCTCTACAAAACTAGAGAAGTTGTAGAAACACTGGGAAATAAAGATTCAAAATAATTGCTTTTAAAAAAAAAAGTAATTTAGCTTTGAAAGGTGATTTGCATTAATAAAACTGTAGAGAGCAACAATTGAAAAGTCACCTAAATAATTCACTTAGAAGAAGTTTTTCAGCATTATCCTTTTTATTCTACAAATAAAATACATTGCCGCAGATAAAACTTTATCTTGATCATTAGTGCTTACGTCTGAATGCACAAAGGAACTTTTGCTTTGGCAATCTGGCTAAATGACACAGGGCATGCAACTTTTACAGAGGAGCAAACAATTTTGATTTAATAAGCACATTCGTATGACTCAATTTCAGTTTCTAAGACTGCTGCATTTTTTTCGGGCCAGTTTACCCAGCATTCTCTCTACGTTAGCACTACAGGAATAAACTGTGACCTCTGAATGAAGGAAGCATAATAAAGCACATTGAATGAACTATCCTTATGAACACGGTGCAATTTCAACATGTCTTCTCAAGACACAAAGGTAACAAAAATCTTCACAAATAACCTGACTCTGAAGCATTGTCAAAGGTGTCTCTCCTTGTTCCATTGCATCAGGATCACAAAGCCAACTTTGCACAGGTCGAGTTTGTTTTAAAAGAGAAAGATATGCATGAAAAACATCTGCTTTAACATTCTCTTCACGTTCTTTGAATCTGGCTATTAAAGCAGGAGATACAGTTTTGTAGAATTCTGGAAGCATTTCGTGTCGTGTGCTAACCACAGCATCCAGACATTTAGCAGCTGCACGCCTCACTTTCCAGCTCATGTCATCATCATCACTATATTCATCATCACTCCCTTGAAAAAATAAATTATGCATATGTTCAAGTCTAGACAAGCAAAGCATCAAGTTTTATTTTAAACAATTAAAAAGAACACAGTTGGGTTCTTTGCATAAGATACATGAAGAAATAGGTTCAAAATTACGTTAAAAACCACACATATAAAAAGCCTTCTGAACAGCCTAACTTGTAATTCTCAGCCAATTTTTTCACTCTAATCTTCCACACATATTAATTTAAACTGTAAATAGGAAAAGGAGCATCCCATCATATTTCCAGCCTGACTACTGATTTAAAGCATATTCTTTCTTATTCATGACATAAACAACAAAGCAACAGTGAATACTAGCTGATTAAGATTCAACAAATTATTCTGTCTGCTTCTTTCTAGAGGTTAATCAAACTATACAGTGTCCCCAAAATAATAAAAAAGTATAAAAGAAGCAATATAGATTTTTCAGGTCTTAAAGCAACAACTATACAGCTCACTCCTTCCTTTAGTAATGAGAATTTACTCATTCAGTTCAGATCACTTGTGTGTCCAAGTTTTCACCAAGCTTACATCTGACAATGCTTGCCACAATATTAGCAATAAAACACCTTGTGCCTTTCAGTCTGAAACACTTTTATCCTACAAAAAAATACGGAGTCATTTTCAATCTATTCTGATTTTATGCATTAGGTACCAATATAGTGGAAAGCAGTGAGAAGCCTTTCTCATGTCATACATGTATTTTCAATTCATTAACTGATGTTCTCACTTTAGTTATATCATGCCACATGCTTCTGCGTTTTTCCACCTTCCAGGCTTTTTAAAATATTTATCTTGTATTTTATGTTCACTCTCAGAATTACTGATCTCCAGCAACAACATCCTAGACTTTTATTCCAAAAATAAGTTCATTAGCCATGTTTAAAAGAGGTACAAAATTTTAATGAAAGTACACAGGTCATTCAAATGCTGGTATTCAGGAATATTACCACCCATACCAATTTTCTCAGATGGGTGCAGGATCAAAAGCTCATTCTCTCCCCCAAACCAAAAAGAGAACATACCTTGATCATCATCATCACCGCCATCAGCATCCATAGCATTTTCATCTTCATCTTCATCATCATAATTGTAATTAGGATCATAAGTAAGATATTTAAGACAAATGTTTATAATAGTAGATACATGAGGATAAACTTCTTTAGGACATCTGTGTAATATAAAAGTACAATCAATGTCAAATTACTTTGAAGTACTAAAATATTCCTAAAAAAGATTTCATGTTGCATACTGTACTCTAGAGAGAGCAGCCCAGACAATATCAAGGCATCCATCTAAACTACAGAAATTCAAAGAAGGAAAGCTCAGAAAGGGCAATGCCACTTTGCAACAGGATGTGTTAGATTGGAAGGTTGCAAAGGACTCAGATATGCTTTTGGATACCAATTTTTTATCACCACTGTTGGACACAAATATTATCAGAATACTTCCCACCTCTTGTTTGTACAAGTAACAATGGCACAGTAGAAAGTTGGCAGAGTACAGATATAACATACTGCTTAAGAGTTAAGTTACAAGACAGAGTTATAGGAACTGTTCCAGCTCAAAGCTTGCAAGAGTATTTTGTATGAAGGAGACTGTCTCTTGACAGCTTACAACTGAATGACACACTATTAGATCTTAAGAAAGCCTGAAATAAGAACCCATGAATGACTTACCTCCTAACAAAAGATTCAAAGGCTTGAATGCAGTACTCTCGTAGCTCATCATCATCTACATTACAAAACTTTACAACCAAAGGAATTATTTTCTCAAGATATTCACCTGGTAAGAGAAAAAAATTAGCTAAGCAATTACTCTCACTGAAAAACCTCAAAGTAAAGATAATTTATATATTTTTCTTACCTATTCTATGACCTGCTTGCCTACTGATAGCAGCAATACACTGTATATAGGTCCTAGTTGTTGACATGGAATCATTTTTAGACAGCTCTGTCAACAGATGTTCAATGAGGTCAACAAAAACCATATTGCCACAACTCATAACCAGGTGACCAAGAGCAATGATGGTTCTTTTCCTCACAGCAAGTCTTGGGCTGGTCAGCTGGGGGAGCAGACAGGTCAGAATTGAAGGATGGAAGTTAACAAGCAGTCCTCCTTGCCTTAAAACAGACAAAACACAAACTCAAAACCAATTGAATCTAGATAACTTTGTTCATATACTGTAACACAATCCTTCAAATATTCCCCAAACATCACAAAGATTCCAATCAAATATTTAAATTTCTTTCTTTTTAAAAGAAGAAATGAGTTTAAAAAAGACCCTCAAAGCAATAAACATTAAAATAAGCTTAAAACTAGAGTTCTCAGAAGATGAAATAATAATTGATCTATCAACCAATTATCTTCAATACATTCACTTACTTTTTCTAAATTAAGTTTCATCTGTACTTAATATTACCATATTATTTCATATGACTTTGAGTAATTTAATTTTAACATTTGGAAAACTGAAGTTCAAGCTTTGAGGAGTATTTATGAGCATTCACCAGCATATTAAAAGAGGGATGTTTACCTGCTCAGCATATCAGCCATGATATCCAGTGCCTCCAGTTGAACAGACACATCTTCCTGCTTGGCTATAGCACTAGTGAGACGCCCTGTGATCTTTTTGCAAACATTCGCTGCTAATGCAGAACCTGAAAGTACAACAAAACCTCAGCATTTCCATGATATTAAAAATATTAATAATAAATATGATTACTATTTAATATTAATAATATAACACAGGTTTATTAAATATTGTTAACATGCATACTATTAAATATTATGTATTAATAACATCTAATATTAAAAAAATACAGCTTTTAACATTGGAGATTATGTTTGTGACTATGGAAAGCGACCCAAACTACAGAAAGGAGTTTTTTTCTACGCAAAAAAACAGGCTTAAACGGCCACTCTGTTTGCTAATGTCATGTATGCTTTGCATTAGAGCTGAAAGACTATCTATGTAACTAACATACTAAAAGCAGAAGGGCTTCTTGTTCCAGAAGGTATACACAACAGAAGAAAACTGCTTTTGGAAGGGCAAGCAATGGAAAGTGAAAGCCACAAGTACAGAGCAGTAAATGAAAGGACCATAGGTAAAAATGAAGGCATAAAGTATAAGGTAAGGAAAAGCACAGAAGTAGAGCCACTTCTAATGGCAAAAAAAAGTAAAATAAAATTATTTTGCACAAGAAACTACTTAAAAAGTAAGTACCTGGAATACTACTGAAACATTTGAGAAAGGGGGGCAGAGAAATTTATATCGAAAGTATTTTAAAATACAAGTAAAAACGTCTTTATAACAACTTCATAGTTCCCCCTTCCTCCAATTGTCTAAAGTTGTTTCAAGTAATTATGAGAAGGAATTCATATCATGGTAACAACTGCCCAGTGGTCAGTACTCATCTTCACCTGCATGAAATTCTTCTCGTCACGTGTTGTAAATTTCAATGTGAAATGAATACCATTCCATCCTATGGTAAATCTAGTTTACCTATATCATGGCTTATTCTTAATTACAACTGAAACTATAATATAACAAGTGGACAGTCTCATGTGTTACTATGGAAGCTAAGACAAAGAGACAATAATCTGTGTTTGAGTTGGAAGCAAGAAATAACATGTTGTTTATTTTTATAGTAGGAATATTAATTATATTGAAAGACTTTGCTGCATGGTTGTTTGAGCTTTACTTCCACCCAAAAATCCCCTTTTGCTTTGTGTAGGCAAACAAAAGAGTAAAAGCTTTAAACAACTGACTTAAAATTAGTTATTTATATAAAGCTTATGCATCTCACTGCAGCTTGATAGAAGCAAGATTTACATGTCAATTTTCAAAAGGGATATTAAAATCAGAGCTCTTTTTTTATTCAAGAGACCTCAGTCTCTAAAAACATAATTTCCAAAGCCTTTTTAATCACTCTCTATTCTCATTCATATCCTGCAATATGATATCTGAAAAGCACTTGAGTAAAAAAATAATGCTATTAACTGATGAGCAGTTCAACATTAGTGTCTCTTTTAGAAGAAACACTGCATTCATTTAAACCTGTGGGTAAGACTTTCACCAATTTAACAAGCAACTGTCAGAAACACAAGGTACTTCCCAAAACAATTCCAAGAAAGTGAGTCAAGAAATCAGATAAAGAAAAATACAGGAGTTAAAATCAATTTTGAAGTGTATTATCAACCAAAGACCAAGATGAGATTTAGCTATTACTACACCTAGATGTACTCCACCTGGCAATTACTAAAATAGAAGCTTTTACAACTTGTTATATTGAAGTTCACAATCTCCAAGTTTGTTTTCCACATTAATGCAATCCTTCAGTAAAAACAAAGTTCTTAAATTAGTAAAATTTGGCAATATAGTCAGAGAAAAAGAAACTGAAATGGTATTTGTGCCAGGTTTTTACCCTGAAACTAGTTCCAATGCTAAATTAACTGAATCCTCTTCCCTAAAACCCCCAACCTCTTCATTTTTTTGAATTAGTAAATGACAGAACTACATAAAGTCTTTAGTACAAAATGGCTTACCACTGGAAGCTGGGGGAAGTTCTCCAATCACAGTTTTAAGACCAATGCTTGAAATGTCACGTAATTGTTCTTTATCTGAAAGCATGTTTGTACAGAGGGTATCTACAATGGTCTCCACTTGATACTCCTTCACTTTACTCACCAGAGGTCCCAGGCTGTATGAGCAAGAGAAGAGTATTAAATTGACAATATTATTTCAAAATTTTGCATTAAAGTTGCATTAAGGTTGGTTTTCGTAGCAACACAGAGCAGAATTTTAAAAAGTGAAAACTTTAATCTCGTTGGACTGCCATTAACTTGCCATTAACTAACATAAATCTAACATTAATCTAGTAACAAACTATTTGTTTAGGACATGTTTTTTATTTGGAGCTGGAAATTAGTTTTGTACGGCTGTTCTGCTTCAGTCTCAAAACCAGAGTCCCTCTTACTTCTGAGTTCACAAGAAGATTTATAACAAAAATTAACCCAGCCAGAGCCATCAGTTTAAATGCTTGACTGTCAGTGACTGCATAATTCACAGACAAGTAAACAATGTTCTTAATTACTGCATCGTTACTCTATACAACATCTGAATTCAGTCATGGCTCTGTGCAGTAAGACAAACCCAAAATACATATTCTATCCCCAAAACTGTTGTATGTATCCCACTGCTGCTACCCTCTTTTCCCATGTCCAAGAATTAACAGAGAGAAGACCTAATTATTACAAAAAATGCCCAGCAGAGCAAAAGGCAGAAAGCAAGACATGCAAGCAGGTGGAGGACATGGAGAAGTAAGCTTTTGCACTAAAGTGCTGTGTGTGACTTACTGCACTATAGTAACCAGAATAAGGATCAAAGTTTTGGCATCAGTGGTCTGTCACCATGTTAGGCAAACCTGGAGCTTCTCTTTTGATGGCCGCGCTCACTATGCCTTACCTCCCATGAACTCAGAACAGTGTTTGCAATTGAGGCACAACACTTAGATTAACACCCAGGCAATTCCCAAGGCAATCACACCTAGCAGTTTCCAAGCCTTCCTTCACAAACCATAACCTGCTTGGTTTCCTTCCCTCCTTACCCACCCTACTCATGTGGCAAAACCTGCAGAAAATACATGGCAGGGAAGGGGAAGAGTGGGCGGAGAGGCAGCAAAGGCAAAACATATTTGCCAAAACTGAAGTATCACTTACAACTAACTCAGTTTTGTTTTTGACATCTGAAACTGATGCTTTATGATCGCATCAATGCACAAATTCAGGAAGATCGCAATTTACTTAATTTGCAGAGTATTTAATGGAGATTTACAGACAAATACATGAGAACAACTTTGGGATTACATTTTTAGAAGATACAGCATACAGGTAATCTCGAGAGAACTGTTAGTTGAGATACTGACTGGTACCTGATCAAAGGCATAAAAAGAAGCCCTTTAACTGCACATAAATGAAGATGTAGTGGATGGTTTCTCTCTTGCTTCAGCAGATCCTGCAGAAATTAACAGCTCTGACAGAGCCCCCTTCCTTAAAAGCAATCAGAACTCATGCCCTAACCTGACACTGCCCTTTAATTTAGGAAAAGGGCACTGTACTGGCTTCTTTAGATTCAATCAAACTATCTCTACAGTCACTAAACCCCTGAAAGTAGGGAGGGGTATAGAGGACTATATCCACAATCTAATTTGGTAATTCTACTGCTTAATTTATGTTAAATTAATAATGTAATATTAAAAAAAATTCTCAACACTAATACTGGTAAAGACTTTTTGCCTCTAACCAAAAAACTCCTGATAACTCTGTACACAAACACCTGCAAACACAGATTATTACCAATAATTATCTCTGAAACACAAATACATCAAGCCATCCCGAGCTGCAGTTGAAACATTTTCTGCAGTTGCTGAAAAAGCTCACAGCTTTCTTCACAACTTGATTTGACTCTTCAGTCAAGCTTTCCCTTCACTGTGATTCACTGACACATCTATACATAGTTTCTCTTCAAATACACAACACTGTCAGTCAGGCTACTCATAGCACTGTTGCACACATCTACTCTTGATGCATAGTAAATTGTTTTGCAAGCAACACAAGAATAAATCAACTCAAACAGAAACCTATAGAATTCCAAGGTACAATGACTCCATAGTAGTCCAGAGAAATTAAATTCCCTGTGCATCTCAATCAACAAACTACAGTATACAAGGTTAAAAACCCCTTGTTTTAAACCTAAACTGCTGAACAACTACTGAATTCTTTTGATTTAAATACGCTTATTTTTCAAATGCAACCTATAAGAATTAATATAATCACAGCAAAAGCCAGTCAATCAGATTCATCTCAGCTAAGGATCGGAAACACTTTTTTGCTAATGTTTTAAAGATGACCAAAAACCACTGAATTATATTAACACACATTATAAATTACAGTTCCTGGAAAGTATTAAGCCATATTTTAACTGAATCAGCATCTTTGGTCCTATTTATTCAACCTATTAGTTCAGCAGAGCAGACATAACAATCGTGAAGTAATTTTACAAAATATTACCTCAAGCTTTTCTGGTCTTCAAAATCAGTAAATACCACTTGTAGACCTTACTATTAGTCCCAGATTACAATCTTACCAGAATTTAAAAATAAACTATAACCTTCTTGTATCAGTTAAGTTCTGCCTATAAAGCTTTTGCACTTAAGCATGTATTTTACACTATTTTGGATAGTTTTAAGTGCTCTTCGATCTTTTCCCTTTCACTAGCCAGTAATTCATGTCTAGGTTTTCTCAAAGTAAAAAGCTCATTCAGCTGCCTATGGAAATAAACAGCAACACACTGTCTCCTTTAAGCTACACACATCTGGAAATAAAAGAGTTCATAGCACAGCTCTGTATTAGGAAGCTGGAGACAAACATATAATCAATTATAATCTCCAACTGGCATATTTTAACAGCTATCAAATAAGCACATTTATTTACAAGGAAAAATTAAAATTCACAAATTAAAAAAAAACCAAACAAACAACATTATTCAAATCACTAGCATAGCATGATGTGCAGTAGTGTATTACCAAAGCATACAAAATGCTTTAAAGCTGCTGAACTGGATCAGCCACACAGCAGCCAATACATGCATCATCCTGTTCACACTAGTGACTCAGAGCGTCAGGCAGAGCTCCCTATATTGAACAACTGCCCAGAGAAGTCACTCTGATAAATGCAAAGAAACTACAGTACCACAAAGGAAGAATCACTAAAAGTGCTTACTTTAATCCCACCTTTTCTCTAAGGATGGATAGATATGGGTACATTTGGCTTCTTACTGGTTTCAGGAAACATTTCACAATGTGAACCAAGAAAAATTTCTATGTGTAAGTTTAAATGGCAGAATATCAAAGTGTTCAAAATGAGAAGCAGTTCATCCTTAAACTGCAACACTGAACATATGAAACAATTAATATGCAATTTGGGCCAACAGAGCATTACCAATATTATCAGCAATGAGGAACAAGCAATACCAACAGAATAACTATGCTCAGGCAAACCACACTACTTGACTATGCCAGATGCACATAATCTTAATAAAGCCACAGGCTGCCGCGTAACTACTGCTGCCATCAGCTGCACAGGATACCATCCTGGACCACACTATAGCTATAAACTAAGGATATGCTGTAAGAATAGCATTTTCCACATTGGCTGATGGTAAAACAGCCTATGACTATCAGGTAAAACATAAACCATTCCTTCAAAAAAATGGAGACAACAAAAATACATTGACTATTTTACATGCAATTAAGAAAAGGTAAACAACCTGCCGTTACTGACATAGGTTTCATCTACTGCCTGCAGTAAAAAGCTTAACAAATAAAACTCAATTCCCTTCTTTGGGGTCAAGATTAGAGCAAGCCAATTTTTACTTCAAGATTACTAATGCAGCTCATTAATTTTTATTTTTATTCATAAATGAACTGGACAATCATTTTGCAAGGCAGCTACCCAAATGTCCATGAACTCAAAAACTGACTTCTGCTTTGCTTTTACATAGTTTATCCTGCCCCAAACTGGCATAATGTAATTGAAAAGAGCAAGAACAAAATCACCAGTGTGCTTTGTAGAGATAATAAGAAAAAGGTTGATCAGCATTTTAACCAATAGAGCTCTTTTTACTCAAGTGTGAAAGCAAGCAGCAAATAAGGCAAAACTAGGAACACTGCTCACTTGTTGCTACACTCACCTAAAAATAAATAGTGCTTTATGGTTGCTCCAAGTTGTTTCAAATCTGCTGTGTTCAGTGACCTCGAGAATCAAATCTTCAAGGAGTGACTCTTATGCAAGAGCTTTATTCAGAACATTTCCACTGATCTACCTGTAGAAGTTCCCCTAACAAGCTGCAACACTTTTCTCCCTTCCTCAAGGAAAAGAACGTATCTCAGGCACAGACTGAAAAGTACATTGGGTTGTCTTAAATCCTCTTTCTATGAGAGAAGGAATTGATACTTTAATGGGTCATCAAGGGTCAGATGAAAGTTACTGCTAACGGTCTCTAAAGCTCACAACATTTAAATTAAGAGAGAGCTAAACACAGTTTATGCTCTCCTTAGCTGGAAGTGCAAAGAAATCCTTAACAGTAATACACAAGAGCAAAAAATACTTAAAAAATAAGAAAAGCCAAGAAAAATATGCTGGCTGAAATTAATCAATTTCAATTTCAATTGATTCAATTCCCAATGAATCAGACTTACACCCAGTGTTGTAGTAGATGGAAGACTTCAGATCAGCTTGAACTGTCTTAAAAAAACCTACAGCTTACTAGTGCTTAGCCTCTCCCATCCTTCACCCCCACCAAAGCTTCTACCAATTAAATTGCGGAAGAAAAGCACTAAGCCAGAAGAAAACTAAGTCCCTAAACCAGTCTGTAACAAAAACAGGTAAGAAGCAGTGTGAGAAAAGGAACAAGGAATACAAGAACAGCAAACAGGAAGCAGCAGCAGCATTAGGCTGCTCATGAACTGTATTGTGAGTACAATACTGTAAGCTGCTTTAAGAAGAGAATACAGGAGTGCTGGGTGGTTTTTTTTGTATTCAAAGCGTAGCTGCAAGTGATTAGGACACAAGCAAAAACCAAAAACCACAACTTGATGCATTCCAGAACATACACATGTCCACCTTCTATATGGATGTTCACAATTCACCTGAAAACCTTCCCATTATGTTTCTTGCCCCATTAAAGTAAATTTAACACTGCTCCTTATTTGGATTTCTTAAAAACACTCCAAACTTGAAAGAGATTCAGTCACTTCAGTTAAATCCAAGAGTTTTATCAATATATCAAAGTAACCTTTAAAAACTGAAGAACTGTTAATAAGAACAGGATGTTCTTATTAACACACAGGAAATCATCTATTTTCTCATTCTCTATCCTTTGCAATCTTTCTTTAAAGTTTTAGTCAGCATTACTTGTACTTTAGGTCCTAAATTCTAATACTGCCATTAAAGATCACGATATTTGTGTCTATATGTATATTTAATCTAAACTTCAGGATGTACATTAGAAATGAGTTTTTCATGTATGCTAAAATGTAACTTTTCCACAAAATGCTATTGCACACAAAGACAATTCTAAGCCTGAGCCAAGTTTCATAACAGTATGTTCTTCTAATTTGAGCTCACAAACACGAAACATTCTCAGAACACTATATGCCTATTAAGAGAGCCCTCTTTAAAGCACACAGAAAGTCAGAACGGTCAAGAACAGAAACTCCTAAGAAATGTAGCACATCTTCAAAAGATGCTCTGGAAAAGTCAAACCATATGTAAAGTTCAATAAAGTGAGGAAGAGGGGGCAGTGAAGCAACAGAAGTCTCTGAAAGGTAAGTAAATGCACCCTGATCCCATAAAACATTTACAGTTCCTGTAAAGCTTGTAAAACCATTAGCACAATATTCTGAGTGTTAGTGAAGAGGTAAGTTCCACATTTGATAACCTAGGCCATATCTTTACTGTTTCATGTTTTCATCTCTGTTTGAAAGCAACTCCAGTACTATAATTCTTCCCCTGCACATCATCTAAGGTCTTAGCACCAAGTATCAGTGTGGGAACTACCACTGAATTATAAGCTTTTTCTATCTATTTAACAATCAAGAATTAACACCAAAGAACAAGTGTGTCGCTCAAATACTTTCAGCAAAGACTGCATGTGCTATTTGGTGCCTGAAACCCCAGTCTCCAATGTCAACAAAACATAATTTTTTACTTTACAACAATTAAGGGAGCTAGTCTACCAGAACTAGGTTTCCTTTGTGGACATCAATTTCAAAATCATTTTGTGTAGCAGTGGTCTACTGAGTTTTCAAAAGTGTTTTATATTGTTCACTCATTACACAATTCTTTACATCACAGGAAAGTAATACCTACCATTTGACAGCTAAGTTTTGCACCTCACCATTTTTATCTTCCAGTAATTTCAAAATCATCTTCACCACCTTTCTTTCACTGTCATCATCCAGCTTGATAGAATCTTTCTGTAGTTCTGTCATCAAGTCATTAGTAGCCATAAACCTGACAAAAGATATGAGATAGTTATTGCTAAAGGGATATGGGTTATTCACAGTGCTCAGGATTCAAGATTCTCAGTTTCCATAATTTGCTAGCAAACAAATCACATTTAAAATGGAATTATTGTGGTCTGTTTTGTGATGCATACACATTTATAAAACAGAAAGGAAGAAAAACTGTATTTGAAAATGACAGTAACTTTTGAGTTAGGTCATCATCTTTCTCTTATGATGACAACTACATATTTTACTTCCACCATTTACATTATACTCCACATGATCTCTGCACAGAAAAACTAACACTTCCACAGATTTTAAATAATCCTTTCGTAAGCTATGCTGATGTTGTAAAAAACAAGCTTTTTTTAACTTTGTTAAAAAAAGTTTATCTCTGCTCTTGAGTTTATTTTAAAACAAGTTTTAATCAAAAAGAAAAACTGTTTCTCAAACATTCTCCCATAAAATCCACAAAAGCCAAACTTTAATTAATGGAGAAATAAAAGTTAATCTTATGTTCCACATGTTTTTCATTTTCTTGCCTTGTACAGACTAGCTTGTTTACAGCCCAGAAAACAGATGATCACATTTATCCAGCTCACAATACAGGGTACAACAGTAAAGAAAAAAATTAATTCTTGAGAGATCAAGCAAATAAAGTCATCTTTCATATAAATTCAAAAAAAAAGGATTTATGCCTTCTGTTTCTTTCCTTTTGAAGTCTGTTTCACAATCCATTTTTCTTTTGTAAGTGCCCTCTCTTCTCAGAAGCAGCAATACAGATGCATTACTCAATTAGAAATCCCATGGGCTTTGTTATTGACACCAACCTCCATTGAAAACTCTAAACAAGGGTCTGTAGTTAAACAGTTTAGGGTGACATTTGGACTTCAGGCACATCAGCCCCAAGCAGACATCACTTTAGCTCAGGTCATGCTTGGAAGGTTATCTCTGCAGCTTGACATGCCAGATACTTTTACTGAAAACAAAAGACTCTGCATAATCTTAATATGCATCATAAATACCAGATGCCCAACTTCACATGATGGACCTCAACTTGTCCTGTTTTTTAATAATTCCAGTCTAATGGTTCCAAGGTGTTTCTAAGGTAAGACTTCACCCCTTTTTCACTCACTCCAACAGTCCCACTGAAGCAAACCTGCAGTCTGACAGGAACCAGATGTGCACAAAACCAGGCTGTGGATGCAAAACATCAGCTTTTAAGCACAATGATGGACAAAGGCTACTTGGTAAATAAATGTAACAAACAGATAGGACCTAATTTAAGGATGTACATGAAGTCACACAGTACTAGAACATTCAAAAACTGTCTCCAAGTTCCTGCTGTATTTACCTCCTTTTCTTAAAAACTGAATAGCCTCCTCTCACCTCCTTGGTCAATAGCTCCTATTTACTAGCCTTAGAAGTTCATGTCCACTCATCACCTACTTGTCAGTTCCTAAATTAAGCAGCGCATGCACATCCTCAGTGCACCAGCAGCCTCTGCACTCAACTGCAACAGAGCACTCCGGGTAGACTCCTCCACTGAAACATGCAAACCAACCCAAACACCACAATGGGGTGGCGAGGTCAGGCGGCATTCAGAAACATAGTTTTAAGTAGTTTCAATGTGACTTTTAGTCAGAACTCCCCCTGCCTGCACATCAAACTCTACCTGGTGCAAAGCAGGCTGCGTGTCAGCAGCTCCTCACACCCTGTATTCAGAGCAGTCATTCTCCTGCTACAGTGAGGACACTCCTTCTCCCGAAGCCAGACTGTAAACTGCCACCTTACCCGACTACCCGTTTTAGAACTTAAGCCCAAATTTCCGTGTGGACAATACATCCCTAAGTATGGACATCTTCCAAGAAGTACATGCTCCAGCTCTGCATCGGACAGGTCAGTTTATCCAAAAAAAGGAGGATTACATTTTACAGTAGGCTGCTTACATGAACGGTTGTTTTACACTCTGCTTCCTGATATCTACAAGGTAACTACACTGTCCCTATTCAAACAGATGTGATCTAAGAATAAATGCACTTAACATTACTAGAACTAAATATTATTTTATCTGTTAAGCAAATACACAAAGTCTCCTAAAATGTTACTCCACAACAGCCAGTTGGTAAAGGTCTATCATCACTCATTCTTTTCATGGTTTGTGAAGTTAGATTTTAACCTGTGTTAAGAACTTTTTTTTAACATTTGAGAACTTCAAAGTTGTTCACAGCTACTAGAACAGGTAATTTCTGAAGTGTGCTCTACTAAAGGAACTACACAAAAAGTTTTAATTACACACAGCTAGGAGGAAAAAAGTGTTTGCTACAATAGCACTGGACAGGTATAACCTACCCCTTCCATACAGAAAGTTTTTCACTCATAAGAATCAGTATTTACCACAAATTCACTGAGACTTACTAAAAGTCATCCTCCCTACAAGTACAAAATGGAAATTTCACAGAAACAAATTAGCATGAAAACAGTACAAAATCTTGTAACATTTGGAGGAAAAAATGTTTCAGTCTAGTTTCAGAACAATTTAAAGAAATACAGCAATTTTAATTTGTCTCTTAAAAAAAAAACCAAAATTTCTAGTGTGAACTCTCCAGATAACATAATGCTATTAAAATTTGAAAGAAATTCACACAAAAAACCCACATAAAATTTGTGTCCAGTGCTAAAACACTGCCAAAACCTAACAAGATTATTCAAAACCCAACTTACATATCACCATCTCTTCCTTTAGATTTTAATATATTAAGAAGAGGCTTGTTTGGATGTCATCTACTTTAATCATAAACTAAGCATTGTGATGCTGCAGCAAAGCAACAAAACACAAGTGCATTTATAGCCTTTTCCCTGTCTGTATTGATATACTCTCATTGACAAGTAAAGCCTTCAAACTTGAATTTCTGGTTGTACTCAATACCAAAACAATGTAATTCTTTTTAATCCAATGCTTTGCCAGAGATACCAGGTAAATGTATTATCTCTGCTGTTTTTTTAACTGTTTACTTGTATTATTTCATTTTCTGATATTTTGCCTTTTATCTATTTATTACAAAGCAAGCAAATGTTCCAATGAAAAGCAGTGCTCCTGTGACAGATCCTGAACTCAGAATTAAATTCCAGTCTTGTCCCCATAAGACTCAACTGGATTTCTCTCTGGATGCACAGGGGCAACACCAAACTACACGAGGAGCACAAAACCCCACTGGTCTTTTAGATCCAGCATCCAGAAGGATATGAGCTTAAGATCACAGAATCATCTGGGTTGGAAGGGAGCTCTGGAGATCATCCAGTGCTACTCCTCTGCAAACACAGGGTCACCTAGAGCAGGTGACACAGGAACATGTCCAGGTGGGGTTCTAAAGTCTCCAGAGAGGGAGACTCCATGACTTCCCTGAGCAGCCTGTTCTAGTGCTCTGCCACCCTCAGTGAAACGAAGTTCTTCCTCACGTTGAGGTGAAACTTACTGTGGCTTAATTTATGGCCATTCCTCTGAGTCCTGTCATTGGGCACCACTGAAAAGAGACTGGCACCATCCTCTTAGCACCAACCTTTCAAATAACTATATGCATTAATGAGGTCCCTTCTCTTCTCTAGACTAAACACACCCAGCTCCCTCAGTCTCTCCTCATAAGGGGGATGCTCCAGTGCCTTTATCATCGTGGCCCTCCACTGCACCCTCTTGAGTTTGCCGTGCTGGCTGTCCCTTCCTGCTTCTATTCGTAGAATCATAGGACCTGTGTTTTTTGAAGCTGAGAAGAGACGAGGGAGGTCACCTCACCCGACCTCTGCTGCTCAAGGCAGGGTCAGAGACAGCTGACTGCTCAGGGTTTCGTTCCTTTGGCTTCTGAGCATCTGCGAGGTCAGGAATTCAGACCTCCAGCTTCTCCTGCCCCCACGCGAGTCAGCAAACCTGGCGGCCGCTCGGCAGCTCCCGGCTGCTGGAGATCTCTGCCCACATTGCGGGGAGGCCGCGGCGGTGCCCGCACCGCCGCGCCCCGTCCTTCACGCGCAGCGAAGGGGGAAGGGGGGTCCCCTCACGGGAACTTTTTTCCCGGGGCAGCACCAAGAGATTCGCGCCCAGCCCCGCAGCCGCGGCGCGGACAGCCCAGGCCCGCGGCACCGGCCCCGCC